GGGTGGAACTCCATATGCAGCCACCTCCCCGTGGTGAGTTCTGGGTTATTTTCTTCAAAAAAATAAATAAAATATTATTTTAAAAGAAAATAAGCGAAGAGCTGCATAAAAGTTTAGCAAAATTTACATGTTATTTTTTCATATGTTTAGATCCAATTGGGCAGCCAAAGATAAAGTCGCATGAAACCCAGATTTTGCGAAGTAATTAAGAGCTAGATAAGGCAACTTTTTCGTGTATAGGCGTCCCCATATCTAAAAATAAATAAAAATTCATCATTTTCGCTCCACCCTATGTGTATGCTAGCAGTGCCTTTTTTGCATTCCTTGTCAAGCGAACCTTTTACAGGGTGACTCACATGCAGAAAAGTGTCTAAAACATGCTTACAGTACTATACAGTGTATGCTATATTCTTATAATTCAGAGCATCTTTTTGTGCGAAAAGCAAAAAAAAACCTATAAAACAGTATTCTATTCTAGAGTATAACCACCAAAAATGCAGCTTTGAAGTTCTATAAAATAGCAAGCAGAGGGTTCCCTAAAGAAAAAATGATTTCGTAAAAGTTACATCCTAATCTTTCATTTTAAAGTAATAAAAAGAGTATTTGCGATATGCGCTAAAGTATAGTCTTACCCAGTAGGCAAATGGGCAAACTTATCCAAAAAACTATACAGTTTTACATGGATAACATCTAGTAGATGACTTATTGCCAATTTTACCAACATTAATATTTGACGGTCAGTTGGACCAATAGGAAAAGACCTTATCGAAATGCAATTTGACGAAAGCTGTCAAAGCTCCCAGAATATCAGTGATTTCTATTGAAATGTTGAATAAAGTCGTGAAAAAATGGTTACCTTATAAATAAGGGTACATTATAGATGTAATATTATGTCTTTGTGCTTTAGAATTAGGATAACTTTCATAGAATTTCAAATTTTTATCATTTTACAAAAGACGGTCAGTTATTTAAATGGACCAATGAAAATGAGATAAATAATAGGTCGATTTTCTAGCTATTATATTTAGTAGGATGTTTTCGCTATTTTTGACGACTGTTCATGCATGACAATCTAGTTTTTTCTGTATATCACGTACAGGGTGTTGTACGTAATACGTACCTGTAGAAATGTACCGGTTTTTATTTTACAAAAAATGAATATAAAACGTATTCCAACTGGTTCATCATCTTTTGTTGCATCAAAAGCAATTTTCGCCGGTTTATGATATAGAAATCCACACCAAATCTAAACAAACAGCACATGTTGCATTCCTGGGTCCTAAAACATCGATATTTGTAAAAGCATCCGCATCCACCAACCCAAATCTACGCCTCTCATGTGCCCCACTGCCTGAGTGTGTATGCATATGTATGATTGATATGGGGCATAAAATTATGAATACTCCATAAAATTAACTTTTAGCTTTAGTTTTGGTTTTAGCTCTTTTTCGGCAAGTATAGAAATATTTAAATTATTTTGAAAAATTGTGGATAATGATGTTATCGGTAAATATTCTCTTTTCGGTAAAAATACCGAAAAATCCGGTTTAAGTCCATGCATAGACAATCTGGAATTTGCAATATGAATTTATATTCTAAATTCTATGCATACCCGTTCATATTCGTCAATATTTCATTTGAAGCTTTTATTTGTCATAAGATTTTATAAAAATGAAAGATAGTAAAGGCAACACCGCACCCTACAGCTCAGTTGACATGAACGACAAGCTGTCAAGATTAGGGATGTTTAGATCCACGAAAAGTATCGATATGTATCGATTCTTATCGTTTTAGGAAGTACGTTACTCTAAAATATTGGAATAAAATCGATATCCAGCGGAAGGAATAAAAGAAGAAAAGTAATCTGAAGTTAGTCACTGTTTCTGACACAGTCCGGATCGAAAGATGACGATACTCGTGAAACGTATCGATACAACCAAAATATCGGGTATGGGAAGCAAAAGTAACGATACTTCTGAATGTAGGATCGTATCGAACATCCCTACTGTCAATATGTATAAAACCGCACCCACACAATGTGCCTCGGTTTGAGACATACGACTCTTTTTTCTGAGCTCGCTCATTTCAAATTCAAATTCAAATTCAAAATATTTATTTCGTCATGAATAAACATCATAAACAAAAGAAATTCTACATATATAGAGTAATGACGAAAAAGGACAGTCCCTCGATTATAAAACCGATACATTGGACCCTTTAATACAAAGAGTCCATGCGAGAAAGCCCTGAATACCCTAAAAGTTCTTAAAAAAATAACAAATACAATAAAGAGGCAAATGAAGAGGCGGTGAAACACAAAAAAGGCAAAAACGAAGAGAGAACCCCCGGGAGCTGGCAACGGACGCGAAAAACAAATCTATACAACTTGTCAGCGAGTAGGAATGTAAAAACGTTATTTTTGCTCACACATTTCGTTTATCTCTCTTCATTGAGTCGTTCGTTTGAACGATACAATTACCGACCGGTCTCGAAGCTGGCGAGAGTATTGTGTTGCCTAAAGTAACGACTCACTGAGTCAGAGAATATAGTATCGTGGAGAATATACATACATGTATACATCATACTATGAAAATGAAATGAAGAGTTAGGGTTGCCGAAGTTATTGTATTTATTTAAGTATTAATATTTTTGGTTGAAATTGAAAGTAACGAATGTATACTGTCTTCCGAAAAAAGAAGGGATATGTGGTCCGGTCTTGAGGAATTTCCGAATTCTGAATCAGAATACAATTTTTGTTTTCAAATCACATCATTTCAACGTATAATTTAATGAGACATCTCAAAACAAAACAACCGGGATCCTTAGTGTCTGTACTGTTACCACGTTGTCAGTTCGCAGTTCAGGTGGTGCATACTCGTACTGCAGATACGCTTCGCACAATTGAACGAGACATATGTAACAAAAGAGTCGTTCAATCACCGCTCACTTAGATGAGTCGTTCATTTTGAACGACTCGTTCGCGAACGACTCATGACCAGATGTGGCAAACGTTTTACAACGACGGACACATGGCGATTCGCCACGTCCTGTGGGAGAGCGCTGACGGATTGCATGTGTCCCACGTTCGCCACATGGCACGTTCGGGTTCTTGTCGGTAAATTTGACCCGCGTGAAAGGACGTTACAACGTTGGAAGCATGGTTCGTTACGCTCCCACACGAGATATCATAAGTTGGATGGTTTAGGTTAAAACCAGTAGTGGCGACAAACATTATTTATTTGTTTGCTGTGATTGTGGTGAAGTAGTGGTATGTGGGAACTATTGATTTGAATACCCACCTATTCGTAATAATGGATGTTCCGCAACTAACTTTTGGGGAGAATGGATTAAATTAGTATACATACAAAGCATTAGGCTGCCATAACAACACTTTTTTGATATTGCTAATATTTTGTACGTTTCGCAGGTGAGTTATGGCTGGCCGAAGGATATGTATTTTAGTAAATTATAAATTATTAAGTCCTTACAGTTGTTTCATTTATAATGTCCTGTTGCAATGCAAGACTATTTGAGAAATATATTGACTTGCATTTCATAATTATCGAAAAAGATTAAAGAAATGATAACTCTGATAACTATCACGATTTTGATGAAATTTTGACCCTAGGTTACTACTATGAAAATGACGAAAAACGGACAAACTTCGTTTTTCGACATTTTGAGGGTTCTGACAGACTCAAGTCTTGGTCGCTGAGGAAAGATCTGAAGTTACACACTGACACCGATAATAGACGTTGGCACCACCATGCGTCGAACGTCCGAGACTAAAAAGTTCATTCCATCGTGTAGGAGACACACTTGCCAATTGTGGGGTGTCGAACGTAGTAAACAACGTTGTATACAACGTTGTAAACAACGCTGGAAGCATCGTGTGGGAGCCGCATAACCCGAGGTACCGACGGAGCTATTTTGGGGCGTCATGAAAATAATTTTAAATTTTCATTTGCATTTTTTCAAGTGTGTGGGAAAAATTCCACGTATACTCTTATACAGCATAGTGGAGTATATTTCAACAGTTGGCGTAGCTTACTCCACTGGGACCAAGAGTTGACGGATCCCACACATGGTGTCACTCGTTGGGGAGTTTTGAAATGTAATAAGCAGCTGTTATTCAAATAATGTTTAATATAAATATAACCTAGAATGTGTACTCAGTGAAACAAGAAAGTTATTGCAAATTCTATTGTTTTCGCAGGTTTTAAGTTTGCCGGTAGCTTACGACATATATTTGAGTATTTATTAATCGCTGTAAATATAGTGTGGATGTTTGTTTAGTTCCTGAACAACCAAAAAATATTTGACTTTATGGATGTATGGATATCAAAAATCCTGACTGGTTTTCTGGGAATATCAATCGACGCTGCTATAATGTTACTGATGAAAGGCAAGTAAATGAATGAATGTTTGGAAACGAGCAATATCTATGAAATTTTTGGTAGAGCCTGTTATCAAGTAGGTGCTTAATGCCTATCTGCAAGAGGTTTATAGAAAAAAAACACACGGTAGGTGATGTTGAATCAGTAAAACCACATATCAATTGAAGAAAATAATATAAACATGAATAAATAATCGACAATATTAAATAAAAATATGAATTTTATCCAAAAATCGAACACTTTTGTTACGGAAAAATAGTGCAGGGTATCCTGGGACGGCACTGGGAGAAGATTAGACGCTGAATCATAGGTACACACAGAAGTGGTACCGGACAAAAACATGTAGATATAGGGGCAGAAAAAAAATCGAGCGTTGTTGCGCAGCGGATCGTTTTCATTTTTACATTCGTAATAAAATAGAACAATAAATTGAACGTTGTTACGGAGCGGGTCGTTTCCTTTAAAAACTCCTGAACATCGTCGAATTTGGGAGACGTAATATTTCAGAAGTGGGATGACCTTGCTAAAAATATTGATTTGTTGTTACCGGTTAATTAATAAGTTATTGTGTTTGCTAAGTACTGTGTATAGACTTCGTGCAAGATGAGTGACACTTCAAGTGACGGTGACAATGAACTAAATGGACGTAATGTGTGCGCCCCAACGAAAAAACGGAAAATCGAGAAAACTGTAAGTCTCTCCGAAGTTGATAAGCTGGTTGCAGAAAAAGTGCATCTTAAGCAAGAAGGTGGGACAAAAAAACCCGACATTGTCTACTTAGAAGATCCAATCAGGCGGATAGCAGCAGCACTTCAAGGAGCAGTGACCAAGGTATCCGTTGTCCTCGTTGCGGGAAGAATGGGCAGACGGAGCAGCTGTGTTGGTCCAGAGTTAAGCCGACATGTTCGAGTTGCGGTAAAATGGGACATAAGGACCAGGACTGTTGGAAAAGATCGAGTATGCCGTCTACCTGCACCATCTGCGGAAAAAGGGGACACCTAGCTGAAAATTGCTGGACTAAGGAACGAGAAAAGCCTAAGAATGTCAGAATTTTGCAAAGGCAAGTGTCCAATTCCTTTTATAATATAGCCGTAGAAATCAATGGTCAAAATTTCAATGGGTAGAGGAGAGGAACCAAATTTGAGATACTTTTTTTGTGAAGGGAAAATAAAATACTTTTTGTTTTAAACAAGGTTATATATTTAAATAAACTTGCGATTTTATGCTCCTAGCATACTCTAAACTAAAAAAAAATAACTATAAATGTTTTCTTTTACAGGCGAAAAGTGTATTTAAATAAAAGTAAACATTTTTGTAGATTTACAGCTGGTTCCCTAATTTGAGATAGATAGTTATCCAAATTTGAGATAGGTACCCTTATTTAAGATACTATTCGAAAAACCCCTTCCCTTCACAGAAAGTGCAAATGAAAATTTTATTGGCAATCTCTCCACAATCTTCATGTGCCCATCTACTACAATGGCTGCATTTGGCCCATTTTTCGCCCTTCTTATCTTCAGAAAATCGACCCGTACAAAATAAGCATTCAGCATCGCTTCCACCGCTTTCGTCTGAGGATAAATCATCCAACTTAAGGCTTCCGCTAGATTCTGAACTTGAACTGGAGTGGGAAGGTATCCGAATCCTTTTGGACCTTTTAGCACTAGATGTAGAAGGCTGGTTCTGGTTGATTGACCTATTAGCTCCAGATGTGGAGGGTTGATTTTGTGTGGATATGCTATTTTGGTTTAAATTAGCATCCAATTTTTTTTTGGGAATTGCTTTCATCTGTCTTTTCTCTAAGCTTGCCTGCAACTCTTTCTTATATGGCGTGTGAGTAATGACTACTGCCTTTCCTGATCTTCTGCTCACTGTATTTTGTTTTTTATATGAGGGCAAAGGACAAATATCGGTTGGAGAGACTAATTTAAATTGTATTTGTTGTTCTAAATGCGGGCTAGGTGTTCGTTGTTGCACTCTAAATTCTACAGTGTCTACGAAATTAGTGATGCTTGCAATTTCGTTTGCGATAGAAGTACTTGCATCTTGATTCACTAGATTATCACCTGTGAAATCAGCAGAAGTAGCCGCATTCTCATGTATTTGCTGTGCTGTATCATAACCTTGATGGTCTACTTCACAGGGATCTACGGTGTCAATCCGATCTTCCACCCGATGAACGCTAAAATCGGAATCTCTAAAAATATTTCTGTTGATAGGCACCAGTCCTGTTTTCCGAAATCCATTACAAGAGGTTTCCATTGTAGCAGCTCGATTGTAAGCTTTGCAAAAAATGCTAGAAATTGCATATGGGGAAACAGTACTTAGCTGATTCTCTCGAAGCCAATTCTCTATTTCCTGTGCATAGAAAGTCTTTAATGGTGACATAAACGAGACATCTAATGGTTGCATCTTGTTTGTTGAGTGTGGTGGAAGACATATTATTGCCACATGATTTTGTTTTGCTAAATCTATCAGGTCAATGTTCCTTGTGTGAGAATAATGACCATCTAATACTAAAAGAACTGGATCAGAAGCAGTAGGCTTTGTAAATTTTATAAAGTGATCTAACCATCGGGTAAAAATATCTGCCTGTACCCAACCTGATATATGGCATTCCGCAATTGCTCCATTTGGGGCTCCTAACATTAGCTCTGTTTTCATATTTTTTCTGGGGAAGATTAACAGTGGTGGTACATACACGCCTGAAGCGTTCATACAAGTAATTACTGTGACCAATTTACCCCTCTCTGCTGAAGTAAGTGATGCAATCTGCTTCTTTCCTCTAAGAGAGAGAACCTTAGTGTGCTTATGTTGAACCACAGTAATACCCGTTTCGTCTACATTGAATATCCTGTGAAAAGGATTTAGAATTTTGTTATATTCGGCCTCATATAGGTCAAAAAAGCTTGAGACTTTCTCAGGGGTGAAAGACTTTATACGAGCAGCTGACATGCCTTGTGGCGTTCTCATGGATAGCTGAGGATGTCTTTTTAGAAATAGTCGTAGCCATTTCTTTCCTGCTGATTTTTTAAGTCCATTAAAAGGATGAGATATGCTATTTCGTAACGCAAGCTGGAATGCCAAACGCTTTATATCACGCGCACGTAAGCCAAAAAATCGCTCTTCCATAGCTAATGCATATTGTACTAACTGATTTTCAAGTTCAGGGGAAAGAATAGTCTTGCGACCAATTGGTGTGTCTACAAGTTCTCTTGGATCCTTACCGGATCTAACATATCTTTCTACGGTCCCTTTAGGTACTCCAAAAACTTTTGCGGCTTTCAAATAACCCATCTCCTTATTCTTTACAGCTTCGATGGCCTTTATCATGTCATTTGGGTTCCACTTTTTGTGTTTCGGTGGCATCTGCAATATAAAAAAAATAAAAGATAATCTCTTGATACAGGGCCGTTATTTGAGATAGTCTCAAATTAGGAACACTTGGGTATCTCAAATTAGGAATTTTCCGTTAAGAAGTTCAAACAAGCATATTTAGGTTATGTAATAAAATAAAATCACAATATTGAAAAAGAAAATAAATAAGGTATTTGTAAGCTACTAAATTTATATCAGACAAGTGTTCTAAGTATCTTACCTCACTTTTAGTAATCACTTTTCTCGCACTATTAAAAATATTTTCGACTCTGAACAAGCAACAAGTTGTGATGTCTCAGCAAACCATGTGCAAAACTAGACTGTAAACACATCTAGAATACTACTGCGTCTTAGTTCAACACTTTTTGGTATTACTAGAAGATGGCGCTACATAGATTCAAAGTTACACCACTGTCTCAAATTAGGCGCCTGTCTCAAATTTGGTTCCTCTCCTCTATATTGACACTGGTAGTCAATTGAATGTCGCAAATATTAAGGTGGCCAACAAATTAAATTTAAAATTATATCCAACTGATATACTCGTATTACTAAGGAATTTCAGTGGCTCTCTCATAGTGCCAGAAGGTGCTAGTCAGGTAGAGATATCTATTGGGAAGATTTTTATGAGCACGTCTTTGGTATTTGTAAATGTTGAAATGTCCTCAGTTGATGTTATTATTGGACAACCGATTATAAATAGCAAAAAAGTGACTTTGAATATCACAGGTGGTCAAGTGCAATTAAAACCAGCTGAAGATGATTTGTTAGAAATGTTTAGTTTCCTAGATAATATAGAAAAAATTGCCTATTGAAGTTTTCGAACATGTACATATTCCTGCTCTAAGCTCTAAGAGAATATTGATTGCTTTAGATAATACCCAAGATATTGTTATTATAAGTGGTCAGCTGTTTACTTGTTCCCAAAATTGTTCTATACAAAGTTGCATTGTTAGTGGACCAGTTCAAACTTTGAATGTCATAAATTGGGGTAATAGGCTTATTTGTTGGGAAAAAGGGGCAAATTTTAACAAAAGGGTTCAAGCTAAGTTCTTCGTCTAAATTTCCAATCATAGAAGAAGGCAATGAACTCTATCGTTACAAACAGATAATATAAATTGTGGGGATTTATTAGAAAATGATAGAAATCAGTTGTATGACCTTTTGCGTAAGTTTAGTGAATGTTTTGCGACCGATACTCTCGAGCTAGGCAATAGTAAATCAGTAGAATTGAAAATAGATTGTTACCTGACAGACCAATCGTTCATAGGCCCTACCGCTTGTCTGAATTTGAGAGAGGTGTCGTTGGAGATAAAATTAGTGACCTCTTGGCAGGGGGTATTTCAGAGAATCGTCATCTAACTACTCCAGTCCAATTGTTCTTGTAAAGAAAAAGACTGGGGATTATCGTTTATGTGTTGACTACAGGAAATTGAATTCAATCATGGTGAAAAATAATTACCCACTGCCACACATAGAAGATTTGATATCCAGGCTACAAAATAAGAAGTATTTTTGCAGCTTAGATATGGCTCAAGGATATTATCAAGTGCCGGTGGCATCTGATTCCATAAATAAAACTGCTTTTGTAACGCCTGACGGACAGTATGAATTTTTGAGGATGCCTTTTGGGATCGCTAATGCGCCCGCTACGTTTCAAAAAATGGTGAACAATGTATTGGGAAATTTAAGATATGATAAAGTCGCTGTTTATCTCGATGACATCTTAATCCCGTCAAACACTGTGGAACAGGGTTTGCAAGTTTTACAAAATGTCCTTGAACTATTTGCGAAAGCCAATTTAAAATTCAACATAGATAAGTGCTCATTTTTCCAGACACAAATTGATTTCCTTGGTTATGAGATTTCGGAACTAGGAATCAGACCTGGTGATCGAAAAGTTAGAGCAGTAGCAGATTTCAAGGATCCAACAAATATACATGAACTAAGGCAGTTTTTGGGGCTTAGTTCCTATTTTCGGAAATTTATAAGAGATCATGCTAAAATTGTCGCTCCACTTACAACATTGTTACGCAAAAATGTACCGTGGTCTTGGGAAAGTGAGCACAAACAAGCTGTTAGTAAGATTAAGGATATACTTATAAATAAACCTATCCTAAAAATTTATGACCCTAAAGCAAAGACTGAATTACATACAGACGCATGTAGCAAGGGCATTGCAAGCATTCTCCTGCAGTATGAGGGAACTACGTTAAAACCGGTCTATTACTTTAGCACGGCAACATCCCGTGATGAAAAATTATATCATTCATACGAGCTAGAGACTTTAGCTGTTGTTGAGTCAATTAAAAGATTTAGGGTCTATTTGGTAGGAATACACTTCAAAATAGTCACAGACTGTAGTGCAGTTAGGAGTACTTTTGAGAAAAAAGATTTGCTACCTAGGGTTGCACGATGGTGGTTAAGCATCCAAGATTTTGATTTTGAAATAGAACACCGTCCAGGTGATAAAATGAAACATGTAGATGCTCTAAGCAAAATCCAGTAAGCGATGTACTTATTATGGATGCGTCTGATTGGGTTTTAGCATTACAACAAGACGAAAGTATCCGGATGATAAAAGAAAAGTTGGGCACAGCAAACGACAAGGACATTTCAAATAATTA